CGCGGTTTGCGCCGAGAATCGTGTGGTGTTTCGGAACGACAACAAAAACTTGTGAAATGGAACGTGGCAATATCAACATTTACTTCTCCACAGCAGGAAGATGCTTGAATGAGACAGAACTGTGTAGTAGGCTTTGTGAGAGCTCTATTTACTCCATTTGTTTAAATATGTTATGCCATTTAAACTTCTCACTTCAGAAAAAAGCGCGTACCGGCCTGTTTTACTGCAATAAAGCTATCAGAACACACTATCATAGATGTTTTTACAAAGTTTTTTAGTGGGGTCACTGCTCCTGTTATTTGAGTATCAAGATAATCAAGACTGCTCCTCAGCCAATGTACGATGGATAAGAATCAGTACGCCTATGCGTGTGACAACGCACCTGGTTTTAATATGTTATCGAGGGCATCAACAATATTTTGCATTGCCTCTATTGATGTGATTCTAATTGTTTTGTTTATCAGATTAAGATATTTGTATCTGTATAGTCCCAATGCTTTTGTCGCCAGTGTTTGCTAAATTAGCTTTGTACAATTATGACAAAATGCCGTCCCAGAGTCTATTTTAGAGCCTGCTTCTGAAAATGTTACGCTTTCACGTAGCAACTGCATTTCGCCGTTTCATAACGAAAATGAACCTGTACTGGGACTATGATATGCCAAGTAAGTGCGACGTGACCTTACACATGTAATACCGCTTTGAAATCTCCTAAAAGCCACAGGTACAGAACGTTTTATTAAATGGTACATGGACTCCCTAAAAATATCTAGCGTGCGAGAGGCGCCTTCAAAGGTTGGACAAGTTTTCCCACCATACTCTTCCGTCCTGACCGCAGTACTGAGGTGAATGGCCACTCGATGCATTTTTACAACGCCCATGGTCTCTCACCTGTCTGATATATCACGCATACACCATTGTGGCACGGGAATGCGTGATATATCAGACTGGCGAGAGACATGTCTGATATATCAAACAGGTACACCGCCCTAAGCGTTATTAACTAGACATGAATGTCGGAAGACCGATAGAGAACGATTCTTTCCAGGGAGCAGGATTCGCCTCACGCGTGACCTGCCGCCTATAATTCGTACCCGTACGCAGTTTGAGGAGCACGTGGTGATTCGAATTACCCGTCTAATTTCTGCTATGAACGTCACTCATTTTTTTGTGCTTCGTGCGGTAGAGTGAGTAATATTCCAGACATGCAGTAAAAAAGTACATTGCAGTGCTCACCTGCGCACATACGCTGACACATCTTTTCTGAAACAAATTTGTTTTGATTCGTTGAGTTGCAAGTGTCGGGCGTGAACAACTTGCACACTCTGGTCACGACGTCTATGCCCCAAGATTTTGCATGTTCTCTGCATGTACGGGCCGTGTGTGGCGTCAGGCAGTGCCTGAATACCTCGCCTTTGATACCTGCGAATATAAAAATAGAGGAAAGCTGTATTAGACAAAAGCACCAACTTGGGGCGAGTTGGTCGACGTTCATTTCGTAACGGTTTAACTGTGCTATAACGATCACAGTAGAAGAAGAGCGTGCACTGTCTTCTTCTGATCTACTGTTCTCCTGTTAAACCACTACAGAACTGGAAAGATGTCAACCAGTCTTCGCACGTGAGGTACATACGCACGTGAGATGCTATAAGGTACATACATAACACTACATGTAATTCGTAGCATAACTGAATCGCTACGATGCTCGGCCGCTTCCCCGAAACACGCGGGCTCAATCCTGGATGTGGTGGTCGTATTCCGACGGAGGCAAAATGCCAGAGATTTGTGTAGCCAGTGATCTGAGTGTGCGTTAAAAAATCCCAGGTGGTCGAACTTATACGTGGCCCATCACTACAGCATCTCTCACTGCGTGGGTCGCTTTGAAGCGTTAAGCGCCACAAACCAAAATGACTGCAAAGTTTGCGAGATATTGTCAGAACAGAGATTGGCTTGGCAAGACATCCATATATTTGACCACTACGGTTATTTTAGCGAAAACATCCTTAATCTGGTAAAAGATTCCGATAAATGTTCGTTAAAAATTCCCTAAATATTTATCGGAGACATCCAGTAAGTATGCGTAGAGGGTTATGCGTCTAAATTTGCTGTGTTATATTTTTGGTAATGTAAGAACTGTGGGGTGACGAGATGGAAAGCGCCATGCTCTTGGTGCGAACGGACACAGCAGGTGGGGTCAGACCCAAATCCAACAACACATTTATAAATTAGTTTTCATTGACAATATCATCAGCCGAACGAAAGAAATCACTAGTGGTCAACACGCTAAACAACCTCATACAATACCCCAACACACTCAATCAACATAAGAACAAACAAGGTAGGTAACGTGAAGGCGTCATCGCCAACGCTTGACTGACCACGATGGCCTACGAGAAACGGCCCGCGGTGCCGACCCAATGAACCCACCGCAAAAGACAACCGTTCGCGCACATCGGCACACGTCAATGTATATATATACACACACACTCGCCAATATTTTCTGTCCGCCAACCTAACCTCACAGCCAGGCGTCACTGCTGGCGCTACAACGCTAATCACAATGATGACGATGACGATCACGTACGAATGCAGCATGCCCTTATGGTACCGTAGTGCCCTACCACTCAGCAGACGTTAACTCTAGTTACGGTCTATTCGCGCAACACGTATGCGCCAGGAGGCACAAACAGCTTTAGAGGGAGAGGTAGCACTCCAACAGGACTTATCCACAAAGACACTTTTAGCAGCAATGGCGTATAAATCTGAGGTAAAAAGCTTCAAGACAGAAGATATTTTGCTGAGTGCAGTGAGTACAAGGAAAATGCACGAGAAATGAAAGACCTGGAATTCGCATGGAGTTGTATTGTCTTAGCAGGCAGGTAATTTGCCTTTATAAAGCTAAGTGCAAGCTTCCTGAAATGCCGACATGTGTTTTTGTTTCAGTGCGTCATCGCCAAAATAGATTTGACCTACCGAGTGTGTAAGAGACCCAGCAAAACGAAACTAGAAGGCAAGCCAGTAGCTTCATGGCACTTTTCTAAAATTTGAGAACACTGGCATGGTTTTCGCGTTGGCCGAACGGTGTGGCAGTTCATTGTATAGCATTTATAATACAATCTTTAGCCACCCAGACAGCTCAAGTAGCGACGTTGTTTGTTTCTTCTTTTTAAACAGCTCGAAGGCGAGAAGAAACAAATGTTCCAGCTGTCGTTTGCAATGAACTAGGTGGGCGTACAATTGTTGCTGCCATAATAATAGTACATATTTCGCACTCGTGCTTTAGCGAAAGTGAGCAAGTTGAGAATAGGTGGCCTCGTGCTCGATACCGATTCTTGCAAGCGCTGACAGCTTTTGTTGCCTGGCCGGCTCGCCCTTGCTTCCGCAAAGTGTTTCCGGTTTGGTGTAGCTTCTTTGTATTATTAGGAGTAATATATATATTTATAGACCCCCAAAGGCAGCACGAAACTGAGATGTTTACCTGTGTGTTACTAAGAGAGTTATTGCACAATGCACACGCTACCCAACGGAACGACATCCCCACTAGCTTGAAGCGCACTTAATTTTTATACCTTGGAACTAGTTCTTGAAAGCCTTCATTAAAATGATGTATCTCACTCAACTTCATCTATAGGAATCGAAGCCGAACTGTGGTCTGTAACAGCTTCAAGTTTCAAGCAATATGGGTATAGATGTTGGACGTTGCTATGCAAGGTAGCGTACAAGCTCTATTTTATTTCCTTGTTTCATTCTCTATGGGACGCGAAGCAGCATTTTGACTAGCCTTTGTAACGCTGTCCCTCCAGGAGTCATGCGAACGCGCCGCAGCACGCTCCCCTCACCGCCATTGTTGGAGCGTTGCCAAATAGGTCACGCCGCAGCTGCGCGTTGACGTTACGCTCCCCTCACAGTGCGCGCCGAGGTCCCTCCCTCCCTCTCTCTCTCTCTCTCTTGCCACGCGCTTGCCAAAGCGCCCGCTTAGCGAAAGACGTTCAGTGAAAGACAGAGAAGATTGGAAAGGCTACACTCTACGTCTTGAAAAGCACTGAGATGGAAGAAGCAACCGTCCTCAGGACACCGGTACGCGAGTGTCACACAGGGAATCAGGTGGCGCACGCTGTGCCTCGAGATGATGCACTTTGAGTCATCACCGGAACGCAGAAGACATGTACCGATGACTGTCGTGACGAGCACGAACACATGCCAAAGAAGCCTTCGGATATTTTTGTCGCATTACAGCAAGCGGTGATCTGGCAAAGACTCTAGAACTGAACTGATCCACATTGAGCTTTGATGCATAAAATATATTGATAAACCACCGAGTAGGAGGAAACAGTGTTACAGTAAATCACCGAGAAGGAGGCTACAATTGTTGCCCACCAGACACGTGCAACACCACCTGCCATCTGATGCTGAATTTTAAGAACAATTCGGACGGACATGCCACCGTGAACAAACCCAAGCCTAAAGGAAGAGGAGTGAGTGGATCTGGAGGAAGAACGTGAAGAGCAGCGGGAGTGTTTGCTGCTAACTCCGAACCCTGGCAACCAGTTGCGAACGGAAAACGGGGAATCGGGTTGCGACAACAGGTAATGGCTATCTAGATTGAGGAGGCCACCTACGTTTTGGGTGAAGTACAAGGATTCTGACGAAAAAGAAATGTTCACTTCGATCTTGCAGATGTCTATTTTCACATTCATCGGCTTGATGAGGACTATGTACCATCTTCGCTGATTCATCACAGGGGGTATAGGCCTTGATGCCAAACGTACCCAACTCAGTAGAGAAGACAGATTCTCCTTATTACATCGCGCACCCAAAGTTAATCCTTAATTTGTAGATTATATTCTATAAGTCGCCATACTCCTAACTGCTGCACAAATTTTAAACCTCAGATTCATCAGCCAATATCGAGTAGAGGGTGTGGGTCACAGTGACATTGTAAACGAGCATATGCGAGACGAACACGATAAACATGGTAAATGGAACAGTGTATTTACAATTCCATGGCGTCCGAAGGTGTGAGTATGCGGTAATTCCTACGTAAAAGTATATATTTAGTTACGAGTGACAGTGCTGTGCTTAGCTATCAATTTTAGCAAAGTGTGTACCATAGGCAAGACGACTTCGCAGGCAGCCTCAATCACCCACAAGCTTGCTTTCTATTTTATGCTCACCTGGTCATTGATGAGACGTTAATGAGCATGCTATCAAAGAAGACGCCACACAATGCCTTCCACAGGTTCATGAAACCAGAATACTTAACATTCAGTCTTTTCTGGCTTCAGTAATGCTTGCCGCACACACACAAAAAATTACTCTGCATACCTATAGAGATGGTTCGTGGCATGTAAATAAGCACAAAGGAGAAAAAAAATGGAGAATATTTAGGCTTTACGTTAACACACACACACACACACACACACACACACACACACACACACACACACACACACACACACACACACACACACACACACACACACACACACACACACACACACACACACACACACACACACACACACACACACACACACGCACACGCACACGCACAGAGAGAGAGAGAGAGAGAGAGAGAGAGAGAGAGAGAGAGAGAGAAAATTTGGGATTATCCTAACAAAATTCTGCTGCCTCCGGGGAAAGCGTACATGCTCCCTTCAAACGTTGACGTCATCGGCGGTTTGTTAGCTGGAGCAGTGAAAACTTTATGAACGGGAATCATTGTGTTCTCACGTCATGCACTTCCTTAGGTTTCACAGTAGGGGAGCTGCATTCAGCGTCAGATTCGGAAGCAGATCACTTACTACGCAAGAACGTTAGCAATTGATTTGAGTAGCGTGTAGCACTACGTTAAGCTCTACGTTTAGGTTGTTTTTTCATACATCATCTTGAGAGGGAAAATAAACCTTTTACTTACGAGACGAAAACACTTGAAAGGATAAAACTACGGCTCTAACTGATGCAGGGTGCAAGCATCGCGTTCCCATTCCGGTGCTCATTTTTTTCTTCGGCGAAGTCGGTCAGTGCAGAGTGCTGCGCATCGTGTTTGGCTTCGTCTTTGGACTCTTCATGGGCTACTGTGAGTACCGTATCACTGCAGCGACATGTCAGCAGCGAACTGAAGAAAATTATCTTCCCTGAAATTTACCTATATGTGGCAAGGGTACCGTTTACGAAGCATTAGGATTTATTTTCTCTAAATGCAGGAATATAGATATTTTATATCGAGGACCCGGATATTGAAGTAAGTACAAGTGGAAGTGTAAGAAAAAAAAATACTGTGTGGTATAAAACAACTAAATTTTATTTCACCGTAAATTAGTATAAATAGAATTGTACAGTCACTCATGGTGTATTTCTATATAGGCATAGTTGAGTCACCCGCTTGAATTGCACTGATAGTTATCATCTGAAGGCAAACATTTGGAAAACAGAATTAGGAGGGGTTTTGGGCCATAAAACGATGATATTGCTACATGCATGTATACTGATATTCTAGGGGGCGACGCGCGTGTGTGCCTGACGAGGAAGACGAAGGGTTGTCTCCGCTCGATCGCTGGTGAACCGGGCACGCCATTACCGCTGGTTTGGAATATATCTAATCCCCAGCCTCGTCGTTACGGCGTCTCTTCTTTTCCGTAACATATTTGGTGGAGGTGGAACGTTCCCCGTCTTCACCACGAAGCTTCGCAGTGGCCGCACCATTCAGTCTCCGGCCATGGCTACCAATGACAACAGCCTCTCAGCGTCTCCATCTGTAGCTCCAGCCACTACATACCTGACGATGCCCACCCCCCGTGATCCAGGTACATTCTCCGCACAACCTGGGCTCGACGTCGACTACTGGCTCCGTATGTACGAGCGTGTTAGCCACACACACCGATGGGACCCTACCATGATGCTCGCCAACGTAATATTTTACTTGGACGGCACCCCACGGGTCTGGTTTGACGCCCATGAGACCGAGCTCACCAGCTGGGATACCTTCAAGGAGCGACTACGCGACATCTTTGGGGACCCGTCCGGTCGCCAAATGGAAGCGCGAAAAGAACTCGCCACTCGTGTGCAGTCGTCAACAGAGTCGTATGTCTCGTACATACAGGATGTGCTCGCGTTGTGCCGAAAAGTCGACGAGCAAATGACAGAGAGTGACAAGGTGGGCCACATACTTAAGGGCATCGCGGACGACGCCTTCAATTTGCTCGTCTACAATAACGTCACGACCGTAGATACGACTATCAAGGAATGCCGTCGCTTCGAAATGGCCAAAAGCCGCCGTGTTCTGCCTCAATTTACGCGGCTACCAAACACGGCTGTTACATCCACTTGCACCGATCTCGGTGCCGCACCACCCATGCAGGACAGCGTGACACGAATAGTTCGACGGGAGCTTGAGGCGTCAAGTCCGGCACCATTTCCTCCACATCCGCTCGATCATGGCGCCGCAGAAACGCCTCCGCCGGTCTCCGTTATTCAAGCCGTCGTGAGGCAGGAAATTGCAAAGCTTGGTTTTCCTGTGGCCTGCTCTGTGTCCCGACCCGTCTCCAGACCAATGACAACAAATGCACCACGCCATGACTTACATTTTATTCCGCGATCCCGCAATCCGGCGGAATGGAGAACTGCAGACGACAAGCCGATCTGCTTCCGCTGCCACCGAGTTGGCCATATCTCCCGCTACTGCCGCAGCACTTGGACGCCCTCAAACTGGAGTCAATTTTCCTCTAATCGACCATACGAGGACTCCCGTCGGTATTCGCCCAGTCGTGTGTACCTTTCTTCCGACATCCCCAACAGCCGCTCCACTGCTCGTTCGCCGCCACCACAACGTCGCCGTTCCCCATCGCCCCAACCACGCCGCTATCCGTCGCCGGTCAACTGTGGATCCTCTCGGACGGAAAACTAGATCATGCAGCTCCGGGAGGTAGTGCTGCATCGCTTGCGAATGATCCAAATCCTCCATTGACGCTCCCCACTGATACGAACTTGATTGAGGTGTATGTGGACGGTATTTCCTTGACGGCGTTAGTCGATACCGGAGCTCAAGTGTCTATAATGAGTGCTCATCTGTGTCGCCTGCTCAAAAAAGTCCTCACGCCTGCAGCAACTAAAGCCCTCCGTGTCGCTGATGGTGGAACTGTGGCCATCACTGGAATGTGTACCGCTCGTGTTAGTATTGCCGGCCGCCATGTTCCCGTTTTATTTACGGTCCTTGAAAATTGCCCCCACGACCTAATCTTCGGCATGGACTTCCTATCGACGCATTCTGCCCTCATCGATTGTGCCGCCGGTACTCTCTGCCTAGAACTTCCTCTTCTCCCGGATTCTGACCCTGAACCCCCGAACAGCTTGTGCACCACTGACTTCTTCCGGATACCACCTAAAGCTCTCACATTCATCGAATTGGCTAACACCCTCTCCCGTGCTTGACGGTGATTATATCGTGACGCCGATTACTGATGTTCTCCTGGCGCGTGACATTACTGTCCCACACTCTGTCGTAAGCATGGCCTCTAACCGAACATATTTACCTGTTATCAATTTTGGTTTCATAAAACAAGTGCTACCCCAAGGAATTTCGGTCGCCACACTAAGGCCCTTAATTGACGACCACGTCACCTGTTTTACGGCAGACGCATGTCCCGAGCACGCACATCACTCGCAGGATGTCACGTGCCTCGATGCGACCTTACGCTCCATGATCGCCCCGGACCTCAAACCTGAGAAGTCAACCGCGCTATGCCGCCTCCTGGCTTCATACCGCGACATATTCGACGTCGACCACCGTCCACTCGGCCAGACTTCACTCGTCAAGCACCGCATTAACACAGGTGATTCTCATCCCATTCATCGGCGACCATACCGGGTGTCTGCCACCGAGCGTAAAATAATTCAACAAGAAGTCACCAAGATGTTAGCCAAAGGAATTATTGAACCCTCTTCAGCCCATGGGCATCCCCCGTTGTGCTCGTTAAAAAGAAAGATGGCACCTGGCGCTTCTGCGTGGATTACCGTCATCTGAATAGAATCACGAAAAAGGACGTTTACCCTTTACCTCGCATCGATGACGCTCTCGATTGTCTCCACGGCGCCCGATACTTTTCCACAATAGACCTACGTTCCGGATACTGGCAGATTGCTGTCGACGAAAAAGACCAAGAGAAGACTGCATTTGTAACTACAGACGGCCTATATCAGTTCAAGGTTATGCCATTTGGGCTATGCAACGCTCCAGCCACGTTTGAGCGCATGATGGACTCTCTGCTACAAGGGTTCAAATGGTCAACATGTCTTTCTTATCTTGACGATGTCGTTGTATATTCCCCAACATTTGAGACCCACCTTCAGCGTTTGTCAGCTATTCTCGACATATTCCGCACTGCAGGCCTCCAATTGAACTCGTCGAAGTGCCGCTTCGGACGCCGGCAAATTACAGTGTTGGGCCACCTTGTCGACGCCTCTGGTGTGCAGCCGGACCCCGAGAAAATTCGTGCAGTCACCAGTTTTCCTGTACCCCAGTCAGCCAAAGACGTCCGGAGTTTCGTAGGACTTTGCTCCTATTTTAGAAGGTTTGTGAAAGATTTCGCAACCATCGCTCGAACCCTCACAGACCTTCTAAAGAAAGACGTCACATTTACGTGGGGTACCGACCAAGCTGCTGCTTTTTCTCACCTAATCACGCTACTGACGACTCCACCCATATTGGCTCACTTTGACCCATTCGCTCCGACGGAAGTTCGAACCGATGCTAGTGGTCACGGAATCGGAGCCGTGTTAGCCCAGCGCCAACGGGGACACGACCGAGTTGTCGCCTACGCTAGCCGCCTCCTCACAGCTGCTGAGCGCAACTATTCTATTACGGAGCGTGAATGTCTTGCTCTTGTTTGGGCAGTCTCAAAGTTCCGCCCATATTTATATGGCACTAATTTCACTGTGATAACTGACCATCATGCGCTATGTTGGCTTACGTCACTGAAGGATCCTACTGGCCGGCTCGGGCGCTGGGCTCTGCGACTCCAAGAGTATACATTTACGGTGACGTACAAGTCCGGACGCCTACATCAGGACGCAGACTGCCTGTCGCGCTACCCGGTCGCTGAGTCGAGCACTATGCATGACACCGACACCGAGCCTTGCGTCTTTTCCCTTTCGCAAGTGACATGCATCGGTGACGAGCAGCGCTATGATGCGTCCTTGCGTGCTATCATTGAGAGCCTCGAATCACCATCTTCCAGTCAGTCCTATCGCTCGTTCGTGCTCCACGATGGTGTATTATACCGCCAAAGTTTTGAGCCGGATGGACCGGCTCTGCTGCTTGTCATTCCGAAACACCTTCGCTCGGAAGTTCTACATGAACTTCATGACCTTCCGACTGCTGGTCACCTTGGTGTGTCACGCACTTACGACCGAATACGCCGACGCTTCTACTGGCCAGGGCTTGCACGCTCAGTCAGAAGGTACGTTGCGGCTTGTGAGAAATGTCAGCGCCGCAAAACGCCATCGACACTTCCCGCCGGACGCCTTCAACCACTCGATATTCCGTCAGAACCGTTCCTCCGCGTTGGCTTGGACCTACTTGGCCCTTTTCCCTTGTCTTCCTCGGGTAACAAGTGGATAGCCGTGGCCACCGACTACGCCACGCGTTATGCCATCACACGAGCTCTCCCAACAAGCTGCGCCACAGATGTCGCCGACTTCCTCCTCAAGGACGTGATTTTGCAACACGGAGCCCCACGGCAGCTGCTTACAGATCGTGGCCGCACCTTTTTGTCGAAGGTCATAGCCGACATCTTGCAGTCCTGTAAAACGAGACACAAGCTGACTACGTCATACCACCCGCAAACCAATGGACTCACGGAGCGCCTAAATCGAACTCTTACAGACATGCTCGCTAAGTATGTTTCTACCAACCACACCGACTGGGATCTCGCGTTGCCGTACGTCACATTTGCCTACAATTCTTCGCGCCATGACACTGCCGGTTACTCTCCATTTTTTCTGCTGTTTGGCCGAGAACCAACATTGCCTCTAGACACCGTCATACCGTCTCCTGGAGTACCGACCAGTGAATATGCCATG